CTAAATACGCCACTGGTCTGAATATGACCATGGTACTACAGAGACGCAACGCAAGGCTATTTATAGTTGATACATACCCTTTACCCATAAGCTATTATGATTATCATCTATAATCAATGAAATTGTGGAGGTCTACCGCGTCACCACAAAATTATTGCAGACAATCGATTGATAATATTGTTTACATAATATTATTATTTAGATTTAACATCACTACATCAGTATTTGTGAATACGTGACTACGTAAGTACGTTTGTATTAATAAACATGAAACGTTTTGGCGATATAAGAACATTTTTCACCAGTACTTCAAAAAGTATTTCAACAAATCAAAATGATCCAATAGAAAATCCAGAAAACAATCCCGGTAACAGTTCTTTATGTTTAATTAATTCTGAAAATGAAAGTAATTGTATTGATGTTAATAAGCAAATAAGTAGTAATCCAGTAATAGATTTAGGAAATTTAGAATCTGGCCCAAAACAGCCAATTTTATCTTATCCATTAAAAAAAATAGGCAAACAGAATCGTTCATTTTCTTGTAAATACTATGAAAAATACTTTTGGATTGAATATAGTGTACACCAAGATTCTATATATTGTTTTGTATGTAGACAGTTTGATAATTTAAATACATCAGAAAACATTTTTAAAAAAATTGGTTTTAATAATTGGAAAAAACTAAGTGAAAAATTAGAAAAACATTCTAACTGCAAAAGTCATGGTAGTAGCATAGAAAAATACACTCAATATAAACAATCAAAAATCCATGGAAATGTTCATACTCAACTTTCAGATCAATTTAAAACAGACATTTTAAATAATCAGGTATATGTGCAAAAGATTATTGATATTATTTTGTATTTAGCCAGACAAGGGCTGGCCTTAAGAGGTCACAATGAAAAACAAGAAAGTTCTAACAGAGGAAATTTTTTAGAATTATGTGAATTATTTTGTAAGTTTGACAATAATTTTAGTATGAAATATCATACGTATTTATCATATACAAGCCATGATATCCAAAATGAAATTCTCAATATTATATCCAATTCAACTATAAAAGTCATAACAAATGAAATTAGGACATGTGGAAAGTATTCATTAATGTGTGATGAGGCACGTTCATTTAAAGAAGAACAATTGAGTTTGTGTGTGAGATATTGTAATGGATTTGAAGTATGTGAACGTTTTATAAAATTTATTGATTGCTCTCAGTCAAGGGATGCAGAAAGTTTAAAAAATATTATTATAAATGAACTGAAACAATTAGAAATAGCTGACATACCCATTGTTGCACAAACATATGACGGTGCTAGCGTGATGTCAGGCACTGTTGGAGGACTACAGGCTAAGATTAGAGAAAAATACCCAACTGCTGTATACTTTCATTGTGCAGCACATAAGCTAGCCTTGGTGGTTACAGACACATGTAAACATATAAGAAGTTCAATAACTTTTTTTAATTTATTAGAAATGCTTTATATTCATTTTTCTCAACCATCCAGCCACAGTACATTTATTCAAATGCAAAAAAAATTGGGATTAAAACCACATGAACTTACACAGCTAAGTACTACTAGATGGGCATGTAGGTACAAAAATTGCCATAACKTTAAAATTAATTATGAATCAATAATAAATGCATTAGAAGAAGAAATAAATAATAATAAAAATAAATATGCTGTCGAAGCTGTTGGCCTTTTAAAGGGAATAAAAAAAGTAGAATTTATTTTTAATTTATTCGTATTTCATGACATTTTATTAACAATTGATCTATTAAGTCAAACATTACAAAAAAAAGATATGACATTAGGACAAGCAACTTCAGCAATTAATGGTGTAATACAAACTTTACAAGAAAAAAGGTCTGATAAGAATTTTAAACTATTGTGGGATGATATCACAAACTTTTCAAGAAAGTTTGGTATTTGTTTGAACTATGAAAAATGTTCAAAAAAAAGGAAACCTGTTGAGAATCAATATTTAAAAAATTCTCAAGTGACTTCAACAATTGGAGCTTGTGAAGAAAATTTAACAAATGAAAAATATTGGAAAATTGATGTTTATAATACAATTATTGATAATATAACTAATAGAATGAAAACTAGGTTTTCTAATGAAAGTCAAAAATTGGCAAAATCTATTGATAACTTTTTTATACTTAATTTTGATGGTTCATTARAATTCATTGAATATTATAGTGATAACTTGAAAATAAAAAAAGATATATTAAAAGCTGAAATGATGATTGTAAATAATTATTTAAATTCCCAAATCAAAAATTGGACTATTCAAGATTTATTCTCAACAGTTACATTAGAACTGTATCCTAATTTATATAATTTGTTACAAGTGGCACTAAGTATACCAGTAAGCTCAGCTTCATGTGAGCGATCCTTCTCAGCTATGAGAAGGATTAAAAATTGGTTAAGGACTACTATGATTCAAAATCGATTCAGCAATTTGGCAATAATACACATAGAAAATGAATTAGTAAAGACATCAATTGAATCAAAACAAATTCTTGAAGACTTTGTCAAATGTGGTTCAAGAAGAATTCAGTTAACAATTTAACACTTTAAAATAAATTTATGGTGTATTACACATTTACATTTATTTCTTAAATCTTTATTTTATTATTATCAAAATTGGAAATTTGGAATCTTTTTTTTAATCTAAAATGTATAATATTATTTAATAAAAAAGTTAGTTATTTCTTTCACATAAGTTTTTTTTTTACTGTTAATTTTTGTGTTTGTAGTAGCCAGTAGGTAATATTGAAATGCTATGCAATACATCAATAAATTTYAGTTTATGCGTTCATGTTCATATTGAAATATAATTAGCTGCAACACACTGAACAGTGAACACTGGTTGGTTTTTATTTTAAAAATTAATTTTTCTGTTTTTAGAAAACATGTACAATATTATTTTAAGCAAATAGGAAGTTATTAAAAATTATTTTCTTTAAGTAATCTAGGGCTCGAGCCCCCCCCAACTAAATTTATCAAGCTCCGCCTATGGTTATCATAGTAATAATTATTGAGTAAAACTAGTATACTGCAATGTTAAGTATAATATTGCGGTTTTATTGGTATCAAGTTTATAAACATTGGTTAAATTCTCGATTTTTAAGTAAGTGCTCAACATTAAAAGTGTCATTACTCAAAACTAGAAAAAAACACTTGGTCACTTTAGGCACGAGGGCGAAGATATAATCATTTTTTTTTTTTTTTTTGGAAATGTTTTTCAGGTCATTGCTCACAAGAGTTAAAAGTAAATAGTATATTTTATGATAACAATATCAGGAATTTAATTTACATACCCACGATTTGCAAGGACCTATAGTGCAAAGTAAATCGTTAGGAGGAAGTGAAGTGATAATTGAAAGAGAAACATCAGTAGAACGGATAACTRATACTCCTGATAGGTTATCAATTACTAATAGTTTACCACCAATATTAACTAAATAAAAACAAATGTATTAAAACGATTTGCTAATGATACTAGAATTAATAATAGATTGATTGATTAATGATATATATGTATAAAATTTGTAGAAAGAATACACATAAGTTCGTAATAATGGATTTTGAGTTTTCCATGATACACCGTACAAGTATGGTTTTAATATCAGGTGCAATTTCAAACAGTTTGGACCGATATAAGATAAGGAAGCTTGAAGGTAGACCGTTGTATTTACCATTACCAGTGCATGAAGAAGTTCAGCCAATGAAAAATTTGGAATTACAAGTGGCACAAAGGGAGATCCGTAGGATTTTTAAATGTAAAACAGAACTAAGATATGCTTGCTTGGACCAATTGAATAAAAGTCTTAGAGCAGATGTAAACAGTCTAAATGCAGATTATATAAAAAATTTGGTTTAGTGCACGATTATACACACAATGATGAAGTGAAAAAAACGGTTCGAAGAATATGTGCCTTAGCTCTGGTGCCTATCGATGAAATAGATGAGTGTTGGTCAATTATTCATGCTGAAGCACCAGTTAATGAAAGTAACTGAAAACGATTTAATTATAATTTGATTAGTATATATAATATTTACTTTTTTTTAGACGTTATAAAACTTATGGACTATTTTGTGGATACATATTTGAATAGTGATGTATGCATGTTTGACCGGAAAATATGGAATCATTTCAACACCGATAAGGCACGTACAACTAACCACCTAGAAGGTTGGCATGCAGCTTTAAACCGGAGTATAAGTCGACCAAAGCCGAACATATTTGTGTTGATAACGGAAATAAAAAATCAACAACAAHATTTTGAACTTGATCTACAAGCCCAGAAAAACGGTAATCTAAAACCACTAATTAAAATGAAATTTCGAAAGCTTGAAGAAAGATTAAAAAATGCAAAGGATAGGTAAATAT